AGGGAGATGAATAGCTCAAATTTTAATCCACAAGAACAAAAGTCATGTAATCATATCGATCCGTGGTTTGCAAGTGGCGCAGGGGCGTTTACTGGTCTCAGAATATCCGATAGCCTTCCACCCACAAATGACACCATATCTGGTAGCTTATTTAACACACATGCTGCGATAGCAAGCGCCTCTGAACCCAAGTGGCCTTACTCGGCCAATAATTCTTATGGGTCGCATGTAAATAGTTCCACTTATGGTGGGCTTCCTGTGCGCGATGGGCAACCTGTATCAAGGTTGCCTACAGTAAAATCGCATGCGCCCGTGGTATTTCCCAGCGTCACTACGCCAGTCACCGTGTTGCAGCCTTCTGCAAGTGTAACATCTCAGAGTGTACCTCCATACAGCTACCAATCCAGTGTGTTGCCTGAAAACTTGCAAGAACGTTTCATGGAGCCTTCTATACCCAATTCCTTTACAGAAAACCAAGATGTTTGTCCGATCATTTCTTCTGCTTCAAGAAGAGAGGAACAGAGATCTAAGGCATCATCACCGGAGTTCCCGGATGATCCTTCACTTGCTGAACTGGAACGCAAAGTGGCGGAGGCATGCGCAGTAGTTGAAAGGGTTATGAAAGGACGCGAAGAAAGAACAAAAGCGCAGCGTGAGGCAGCGCGAAAGAAAAGAGACGTGAGAGTACAAAGAGAAAGAGAGGCAAGAGAAATGAGGGGAAGAGAACAAAGAGAAAGGAGAGAAAGAGAAGAAAGAGAAAGGAGAGAAAAAGAAAACAAGGAGAGAAAAAGGAACGAACCACTACAAAATGAAGACAGGGATACAAGGTGGTTTGGGGGAGAACGGGCACCGGTGCAAGAGAGCGCGCGATGGCAGTGCGAGCATTATCAGCGGCGTTGCCTTATGAAGTTTCCTTGCTGTGGAATATTCTACCCGTGTCACCGCTGTCACAATTCATCGGGGACGTGTGATACTAATGACAAGAAGGCGAATAATGCGACGTATGTCAAGTGTGGCATCTGTGGACACGAAGAAGAGGTCAGTGGCTTTGTTCTTCCGGTTATTCCTAAGACTTGCTTCGCGCACTCTTACTACGCATAATCCACGGTTGATTAGCAGGCGCACATTAAAAATGGCGACTTTCGCTTTGGGGGTGGAGATCGCCAGAGGTAAATCTTCATTTATCTCTTAAACCAGTATAGCGACCTATCATTTTTCTTTCTTTCACTAAATTGAAGGGCAATTTTTCTGCAGAAAGTATACAAATTCTCAGTACAGAAAAAGACACAATGAAGGGAAAAGTTGTCAATTTTCATGTAATCGTAAATAGAGTTATACCGATATTGTAAGGAGTCATTGCCTTTTAACACGGTGCTTTTTTCTTCTTTCAAGTTCCCATTTACATGAGGCCATCTCCCTTTTTTTTTCGTTTAGCGTCGAATGCGTTTCATGGTACTGGGTTGGTCGGTCGGATTGAAAAAAAAAAAAATTATAAAAAAAATTACACGAAGTCTCGGAATAGAGACCCTGGTACCCCAGGACGACGTTAAAAGTTACCATTCACATATTTGGATTAACAAAATACACAATATGCTGTAAAAAATGTTCCTGTTTTTGTTCCTGTTTTTCTCTACTCTGTTACTACGCTCATTTTTCAGATTAAAAGAATGATTTCAAGTGAAACTGAAATAGTTTAACTAAGTCGTTACTTTTTTATAAAAAATGCCAAAAATTTGGGTCGGAAGGACGACGCCAAACAGAAAAAAAAGAGGATGGCCTAAACAAAAACATAAACATGTACCTGAACAATAGCCTGTGTACAACCGCGTGGCTGTACTCAGGCTACAAAAACAATCAATCGGTAAAATTTGATAAAATTCTTTTTCCTTAGTCTGTCACCGTTAAATCCCAAGAATGATGAATACGGAACAGATATGCTCTTAGAGAGATCAGGATATGAAAATTTGTAAGAAATCGTAGTCTGCGAGCAAGCTCTCCTATTTGGGCGAGTGAAGCGAGTCTCGCGAGAACGCGCGAGCTAGCGGCGAAGGCGCGAGGGGCCCCTCGCTCGCGCGTTCTCGCGAGGCTCACTTCGCTTGCCCAAATAGGAGAGGTTGCTCGCAGGCTAAAGAAATCGTATCACCCGGAGCTGAGTATACAGCTGACAGGGTTTCCTACTCTACTTTAAGTAACTTTTGCACTTGTCGTAACTATATGTTCCCTTTCTGTCTATCTCTCTCTTTTTTGTGAATTTTAGATCAATGAAGGAAGCCAGTATTGCAGTGGCTGCGGCGAACAAATGTCACCGTATTTCTGTTTCATATGCAAACATTTTACTGGGGTGGAAAAATATCCATTTCACTGCGATAAATGTGACATTTGCAGGTAAGTTATTGCCGATACGAGTTCTGATACTCAGTTACAACCATTTTCAGCTATTCCTTTAGCTTCCTTCTTTAGACGTGGACTTATTAAGGCCTAGGCCAATCGTCGAACTTCTCATAAACCTAACTCACTAAGTTTGGTTCGTCTCATGAAAAGTTGGACGTTTTGCGTGGCCTAAGAACACAAATTAAAATCTATCATCTCTTCTCAAAGAACACAGGCAATATTCAAAGGAATCAAGGGATAGCTTAAGAAAAATCAGTCCTTCTTGCTCGTGGTTGCCGTTAGTTTTGTAAAGTCGATAGTTGATGGCCTAAAAACCGAAAGAGGTGATTGCATTTTGAAATGAACCTTCTAGCTAAACCTACGTTGCAGATACGACTTCAGTCAGGTGTATAGTGGGGACGTGTTTGCCGCGCGTGCAAATTCATTTTGATGTGATGGCACTGGAATGTTTTTCCGCAAGAGAAAGAACGTAAGGGTTATTGGCTCTGTAAGAGTTTCATTTACGTAAAAAGGAGGAAAATCTATAAATCTGTTATGTTTTTTTGTCTCAAATAGAAACCACAAGGACAAACCGTTTCACTGTGATGTTTGCAACGTGTGTCTGGACAAACGACTTGAAGGGAAACATAAGTGCAGGCCCAATTCCGGACACGACGAGTGTTGTATATGTTTAGAGGTAAGTGAAGACCTACTATTTCCCAATGAAAAATGGACTGGGAAGGTGGCATGAAGACTTGAGGTACATCTGGGACAGTTAAGCATTTGTCGAACAGACAAGCATTGTCTTGTTGCTAAACGTTAGCCTGCGTAGCAAGCGTTTCCTCGCGAGGTTCGTCTAGAAAGCTGGGACAAGAGCAAAAAAAAATGAATGACGAGGGAGGGGGAGGGGAACGGTCTACCTTTCGCGCAATAACTCGATTGGAAACGCTTGCTACGCAGGCTAGCTAAACGTTAAAGAAATTTGCAACGGAGTCGGAAATACTGTAAATCCTCTATTAAGCCCCCCCCCCCCCCCCCCGGGG